GTCTGCTGGTTATCTGAATTTCTTCTTCTGAAATTGCCTTCTCAATATGCTTTTGTGGCACTGCAGGTTAATGCGCTGGACCGCAAGGTCAGTGGTTCAAGTCCACCAGCTGCTCCTCGGAAACTCTATACAGGGTCTTTATGGGTCAAAACGGACTCAGTGGCACTTAACAACACCAACATGCTATTGTAAATGGTTTGATTTTCTCATCAATTTCTATGGGTTTTTTGTATGTTCTGAATGCTACCTTTGTTGGCCACATGAATTCTAAGTACCTTCTTCGGGTTCTTGCCTTTTCACCTCATTTATGATAATTTTGGCATACTATACATAGTCTTTAAGGAGCTCTGGTACCGTAGTGGTTATGAATCGAGCTACCAGCTGTTCTGCGGGAGAAAGATGAGGCTTTCTGCTTCCGTAAAGATTTACAGCCTCAGAAACCCTGTGCAGGGTCGCTGTGAGTTGGAGCCGACTCCACGGCACATAACAACAACAACACACATACATAGTCTTTAACTTGTGAAGAAGATGAACTTATGTTTGATTTTTGTGCTTTATGTTACTTATTTTAAAAGTCGTCCCACATTCCCGCGTCAAAAAGATGTGTCTAATACATCCTGTTAAAAAAAAGATTTAAAGATTGTACTTTGCGTCCTTAAAATCAATTGGGAGTTTATCTTCATGAACGGTACCAGGAAGGGGGCTGCCCATTTTGTTTTCTGCTTTATACCACTTTCTCCTCTAATTTACCCACCTAGCAAAGAGCCTGTTTTTAGGTTCTCTTTTAGTCTGTTTGAACAAGCCTACCTAAAAGTCCAGGAACCCTGGTAGCATAGTGGATTACTACCTAGGCTGCTGATCAGAAGGTCAGCAGTTCTAATCTGCCAATCGTTCCACAGGAAAAAGATGAGGCTTTCTGCTCCCGTAAAGATTTACAGCCTCAGAAACCCTATACAGAGTTGCTATGAGTCAGAACTGCCTCCACGGCACAGCACCACCACCACATAAAGTCCACACTGCGTTAATTACTCAGATTTTATATTATATCTTAAAGCTTGATAGGCTTTATTGTGCTTCTTCTTTAAACCTTGAGTATTCTGGATTGTTGATATTTTTTTTAAACTTTTTTTATTGGGATATGTAAAGAATGTACATAAAGAAATGTACATTAAAGTATCAATGGTATGAGTCTCTACAGATCGCTGTAACATGAACAGCATTTCAACCACCTCCCAGATTAAGACAGATCACTCGTAACCCCTGAAGCCCTCCGCACCCTAGCACCTGTGGCTGTCACCTTCTTGCTTGACTTGATACTTTTACCATTGGGCAAATTGTTTACAAATACCATTTGTAAAGTTGGCATCCTAATGTATGTAGTTTCTAGCTTCTTTCCCTCAACATTATGTTTTTTAAAATTTAGACCTTCAATATTCTATATTAAATTCAGAATCCATGTTTAAGTTCTAACAAAAAGTCTGTCAAAGCTTTATTTGGAAACATTGAATTTCTTTATGAATTTATTACAAATTGGCATCTTAACAAGTTTGCAGCTTCCCATTCATTGATGTGGTGTGTTTTCCTGTTAACAGGATTTTTAAATGTCCATTATTAAGTTTTCTAGTTTTCTCTATAAAGGTTTTACATAGTTTTTGTTGGATTTACTACTAGGTATCTCTGCTAGTGTAGTGGTTACAAATCAGGCTGCTAGCCTCAGGGTCAGCAGTTCGAAACTACCAGCTGTTCCATGGGAGAAAGATGAGGCTTTCTGCTCCCGTAAAGCTTTACAGCCTTGGAAACCCTGTACAGGGTCGCTGTGAGTCAGAACCAACTCCACAGCACATCACAACAACAACAACAACATCTTATTGTTGTGTTGCTGTTTCTGCTAATAGTTGACTTATAACCTTCCCAGGCATTCTGTATTCTATCTCTGGCTGTTTTGAAGAATTTCTTTCTTTGTTTAGCTATAATGGATCTATATGTAAATTTCATTGATTTTCCTTCTTGGAACTCTTGTATTTTCAATCTGATGATTTTCTGTTCTTTACTCATTCTGGAAAACTGTCAGCTATAATCCCCCCTACCTCATATTCCTTCTACCCTATTTTGGAACTTCTATGAGCGAGCAGTTCCGTGGGAGAAAGATGAGGGTTTCTAGTTCCATAAAGATTTAAAGCCTCCGAAACCCTATACAGACTCGCTATGAGTCAGCACTGACTTCATGGCACACCACCACTACCACCAAGGAGTCCTGGTGTGGCACTGTGGGTTAATGTGCTAGACTGCAAAGCCGTTTGAACTGCAAAGTTGGTGGTTCAAGCTCACCAGCCACTCCTCAGAAACCCTATACAGGGTCGCTATGGGTAGGAACTGACTCAACGGCACTTAACAACAACAACAATGAGACCTACGTTGAAGACTTCACTATTGTGAATGTTCTCCACCTGTTTAAAGCCCCATGTGACACTGTAGTATAAGCACTAGACTGCGAACCACAAGGTCACTGTTCAAATCTACCAACCGCTTGATGGGAGAAAGTTACAGTCGTGGAAACCCTATTAGGGTTACCGTGAATCAGAATCATCTCTACAGCAGTGAGCTTGGTTTTGGGGTTTTTGCTTTTCCTCCATCACCTGCTCTGTCTCACCTCAAAGCCTCTTTGGTCTATGCCCTGGAGAGCCTTTGCCATCTCCCTGCTGAAGAGGAGGGTAGACACATGGCTGTGCTGAGTAGGCAGAGAAATTGGGTTGTTTCTTACACAGGTTTCGGTAATCCTCCACTTAACTCCTGTTTTCCACAGTACCTGAGTCGCTAATTAATACCTGAGCCTTTCTCAGTTCCACAGGACCTTCTGCGGGCATCTGGATTTTTGTTAAATGATTGATAACTCATCAGTATCTTTTTATTGTGGCTTAGGACACTTAGGATTACAGATGCTGTCTAGCTTCACTGAACATGGTATTTGTTTCTGTTTTCATTTTCTTTTCTGTTTTTTAATTACTATCTGTCATAGAAGGGGCAGGGAAATTATTTGAAACGACAAGCTTATTCTTTTCTTCACCTTACTTCATTCCGTCCGCCTTCTGCTTTGCCACTGCCCTGAAACTGGTCTCAAAAGATCACCAAAAGCAGAATCCAGTGCTGGTGTCTGTCCCTTTTCTCTTACTTGACTCCCAACTGTGTTCTATCCAGTTGTCCTTTCCTGTCTTAACACACTTTCTGGGTTTTACTTCAGTCATACTGTTCTCTCCTAGTTTCCCTTTCATCCATTCGCAGTTCCTTCTTTAATCTCTTTACTGACTTCTCCACCCATAAAATACTGACGTACTCCTGGGGTCAGCCCCCAAAGCCTCTTTTCTGGTATATGCCTCCCACCCTGTTAGTATTGCATCTAGTTCCTTTGCCTTAAATGCTGTCTAATATGCCAAATACATTTCCAATCTGCTACAAGTACAGGTGGAGTCTTTCTGTAGGGTAAACACTGGACTGCTAACCACAAGGCTGGCAGTTCAAACCCGCCAACCAATCTTGGAAACCCTATACAAGATCGCTATGAGTTGGAACCAACTGTAAATCTCTATGAGTGTGTTGTTGTTGTAGTTAAGTGCCTTCGAGTTGGTTCTGACTCATAGTGACCGTGTACAGGGTTTCCAGGGAGCTGCTGGTGAGTTTGAACTACCGACCTTGCAGTTTGCAGTCCGGTTCTTATCCTACAGCACCACCAGGGCTGGTGACTTCCAAAACTCACTCTCTACCTAACTCTTATCCTGAGTTCCAGACTTTAATATCCTAGATATCATCACTTGATGATATCTCCTTGGAATTTCTACTAGATACTCCTCTGAGTTCATTGATTTCTGTCTGAATTGTTCTTCCTCCACTTGAAATCACTGGCATCCCATCATCCTTCAGATCTGCACTCATTTACTGTCTCCTCCTAATCAGAGAAGATACTTGCTTACAGTCAGTCTATTTCACTGCTGCTGTAGGTTTGTCTGAACTTGTTCTGTGTACTTGTTGATTGTTTAATCTTCATATTGACCAATGTTACCTCTACAAGAGTGGGGCCTTATTTGTCTTGTCTTCTGCTATATTCTGAGTGCGTAGAACAGTGCCTGGTATAGAGCAGACATGCTGTTAAGTCTTGCCAGATGAATCAAAGTTTGTAATGCAATGGTAAAATGTACTTTCTCACATTCAGCTGGAAGTTGCCCAGTATGCTTTAATTTGGTATGAATAACTTCCCTTAGGGGTCCAAGTCACAGAATTGAAGATACACAAGTTTTGCCTAAGGAATAGCTATAGGCACTTTTATGTAGAAAGCCATAAGGGAGTCTTTAGACTTCTCTATCAGGTAAATGACCTTGAACATGAAAAACAGGTTAGTTTTCTTTTTCTTTTTTGTACACTGAATTGTTAATTGCTAACTAATATAATTGAGGATCTAGAAATCTAGGGGGGGAATCAATACATAAAAAGTTAGCTAAAATGCTATATTATAAGAAAGCAAAGATTTTTGATTTTCTTGACTTTTTTTTTGATAGCTGTTTAATGTGACTGGCTCAGCTAATTGAACATCAAAGTTGTTTACTGTTTGACTCTCTTCTTGGTGGCCACCTGCCAACAGGAGTAACCACAGACAGCATTGTGTGAAAGTGTTTCTATTATCAGATTTTCTTACATGACTCTTTTGATAGTTGTTGTTTTAAAATTTTTACCAGTCCTGTGAGTGACAGATGGTTAGCATTTTGCTATCCCTTCTAATGTAACAAAACTAATTTTGTTTTAAATGAAAATTTTTTGTTGAGTTGTACTTTACAGTTGAATAGAAACGTTGGGTTGTATCACCAGGCACTGCTACAACCAAGACGTGTGTCATCTGCAGCAGAACAATGATAGCCCCCCAATGGGTTTTATGGTGACTGGTTTCTGTGTTTAAATGTGTTCTTTAAATGTTCACTACATATCTGTCCTCTAACAGGGCTTTTCTCTTTTAGATTTCCGGTATATGTTACAACAGCAATGTGTTCAAAATCCACCAGCTGCTCTACATTCCCAGCTGGATGGCAAAGCTGTTTTCTTGGACAGTTGAGCCCATCTTTTCATCTTCGGAACCCACCAGCGAAGCCAGGATAGGGATGGGGGCAACAGTAGACATTCAGAGACAACAACGAATGGAGCTGCTTGACCGGCAGCTGATGCTCTCTCAGTTTGCCCAAGTGCGGCAACAAAGACAGCAGCAGGTAAATAATAATAATGATCATGAAAATTGTAGAAAGACTCATGGTTTTAGTAAACTTTTCCCCTGTGCTTGATTGTATGCGTGGTCACAATTCCATTTTATTCCTGTGCATCCCAATAGAGAGTTTTGACAGTTTTCCAAATAGAATGTAGGTCTCTGGTAGTGGCTCTTCTTGGTGTCTTAAAAATGGTAAATTAATTGTAGCTGAAAGACTGGCCAGCGGGACATTCTTGGTCCCGTTATATTAGATACACATTATTTCTTAGAGAAACACCAACCTAGTTACCAAGATGGGATACTTATCTGTTTATATAATCTTGTAGAAGCCACAGTGTCTTCCTGTGACTAGGCTTACCAAGTGTCCAGGAAGGACAAATGTAAAGTGCCTTGATTTTCCTTGGTTGAAATGGAGAGAATATGAAGGTGAGAAAAATTTCAAGGGAACGATTTACAATGACTAAATCTAATAGATGCTGTGTTTTTGTTGCTGTTGGGTTTTTTTGTTGTTGTTGTTTTTTTTACTTGATCATCAGAAATTATTGAGAATCGATTTTAAATACAGTTCTATCCAAATAGCCTGACATTAGGCGTATCTTTCCAGTGAGGCAGGGAGAGGAGTGTCGCTGTTACTGTCATGTCAGTTTCATCTTTCTCTGACACATCTATGATGGCGTACACCAGGCTCTTCAGTGCATGTGTCCATCTCCTTGGTTTTTTGGGATAGTGAGAGAGGACACTGATCTTCTTGTGATCGCTCTACCTACCTGCAGGGCCTCACAGTATCCTGGATAAGTGAAATGAGGTCTAAGGTCCTTAGGGTCCCATTGCAGATGTGGGTCCCAGACTTTATATCTAGGTTGGCAAGAAGGACCCCTCCTCAATAGGCTGGGTCTGCAAGGAAAAGAAAGAAACAAAGGTTGTTTCCTACAAATACATTTCAATTCAAAGTGACTGTAGAATTCATGATAAAAATACTCATAGCATTGTTGGGGCTCCTGGTGTGGCACCATAGAGTCAACACTCTTATCTCAAGGTTGATTTGAACCACCAGGTCAGCAGTTCAAACTCACCAGCAGCTCCTCAGAAACCTATATAGGGTAGCTTTGAGTTGGAACCAATGTGATGACATTTAACAACAACATCCCATCATCTAGTTAAAGACAGAGGACAGACTTCTCTTCGAGAGGTCAAAGCTGAAGGTGTAGACCATGGGGTCAGCGTTGCAGAAATCAAAGTTGAAAGCAAGGTATGAGATGAATTATGTCAGGGAAGCACTACACCCAAGATGAACAGGTTTGTATTTAGCAGGGGGATCCTGCAAAGGAGACAGAGAGACAGAATGAAAGGTACAAGAACTCAGAATGATCATCGTCCACAAAGCTGGGGGGGGTGGGGGGTGAGGAGTGGAGAGTATAAATGTTTTACAGATGGATTGGATAAAGCTTAGGAGGGCGGGAGATGGGCAGTGGGTGATTCTGGGGTTTCTGGTTTAGATGATGGAACAGATGGCTGACAGTAGTAGCATTTCACCAATGTCAGAAAAATACATTTTGGGAAGTTAGGAGTCCTGGTATTGTGCTGTGGGCTAATGTGTCGGACTGCAACGTCATTTGAACTGCATGGTTGGTGGTTCAAGCTTACCAGCTGCTCTTTGGAAACCCCATTCAAGGTTGCTATGGGTCGGAATCAACTCCACGGCACTTAACAACAACAACAGAGTGCTGAAGCTTTAAACCTCCACCAACCAGTCATGGTTAATTGAATGCAGATTAGATTACCCCCAGAAAGGAGGCATGATCTTAGGTAGGTTGGCTCTCTTTAGATTCAGTCCCTCCACAGAGAGAATTTCAGCTGAGAGGGATCAGATGTCAATACTCCCAGCCCCTGGAAGATTCAGTGCTACAATTGTGAGGAAGTGGGGAGAACTGGGCAGTACAACACAGCTTCCACTACTGTTCCCCCCTTGTGCGGCTCGGGTCTTCTTTACGTAAGTTCTGGGAGCAGCTCCTCCAGGATTCCTGTGGGAAACTTTCTAGAGGATGGTTAGCAGGATAAACTCCCTCCACTTCTGTTAGATGTGGGTCTTAAGAGCATGCTGATAATCATCTTCTGCTGTTTCCCTCACCCTTGGCTAGAAGGCGTGTTTAAAGTGATATGCACACCCTTATCCCTATGAGGTTTGAGTCTTTGGTCACCGTGTTATTCTCACACTGTGGCTGCTGTGTTTGTCCATTTACCTTGATAACTTAGCAAGAGAATACCAAGAGACACCCAAATGCATTGCCTGGACAGCAAGCGTATTCTTCCCTGTCTTTTTTTGATGATTATAGCCCTATTTTTCCTGATAATCAGGGCTCATTACTCCTGCCAGGCTAATGACTCCTTTCCATGCATAGTTGTCTTTTGGCACAAGAAGCCCAGTGAGTGACTGGGTAACAGCTGTAGCTTCAAACATCTGTCCCTTGGTAGACGTGTTCCCCTTCTGTGAGGCAAGATCTTGGAAGTCAGAGACCAGCAGTGACAGTAACCAAGTCCACCCCTGACTTCCACAGTCCACGTGTTCCACCTGTTGGGACATTGGCATCCGTATAATGGTTGTGGATTTAGAGGTTAGAGCACCTTCTCACTGGGGGTCTTCTGTAAGCTGGTGGTTCAAATGCACCTTCGACAGGCAATTTTATTGATCTTCCTCTCCAGCAGCTCCTGGGTCACATGGTATGTGAGGCGCTCAACATCTTCCCGGGCACGCATGCTCCGGTTGCACCCACTTTGCTGTAATGTGGGTCGTTTTGTCTGATGCGCTGTTATGCAGGGTCACTGTCATTGGGTCCGGCACTCGGTCAGCCCTTTGGTAGTCGTGCTTGCTGCTGACAGAAACGGCAGCCCTGTAACTGGAATAAGTGTCCAATCCACTTAAGATAAATTGCTGCCCTTTCCACAGTGGAGGGACCCAGCATAGTTTGCTTGTCATGAAGAAACTGTTCTCCTTTTTGTATCAGGGCTGAGCCTTGGTCTCTGCTGCTGACAGATTGGATGTTCTGCAGTAGATCAGCCTGGCAAGTGGGACCCATGCACAACCTCCATACCGGTCACCATGGTAATCTAGTCATGTGCTCATTGTGCCAGCATTGGCGTGATGGATTATAGAGGTTGACTGATGTCAGCCAACTGAATGATCCAGTCTACCTTTTGTTTGGTGCCTCTTTTGTGGTGGATGTCTGTGACAGCTCTTGACACTTGTTGCCTGTTCTTTTAGCTACATCTGCGTATCTCTTCCTCAGGCCTACTTATCTCTTACCTTTCGGTCCCCCAACCAATCAGCAAGCCGTTGGCCACTGTTTATGAGTTCATGCATAGTATCACATCAGGTCACTTCTCTTGCCACACAAAGTGGATGACCACATGTACCACCCCGCCCAAACCCTGCCCTGTGAGAGGATGTCCCCTCGTTATCTTTCAAGGTCACCACTGTGTGAAATGATCTCTAGTGCAGCCGCAGTGCACTTCCAGCTTTTACTCTTTGTGTTTTCAATGTTTATTGTGAATTCTGTGATAGTTTACATCGGAGAACATTAGCTTTACATTCATCCTATTGTATATCATTTCATTGCCATGGTTACAGTCCCCTCCATGCATCATCAACCAACCAAAGGGTATACCCTGTAAGCCTGCCCTCCCCCAGTCATCAGCACACAGCCCCTCTCCCTCTCTGGGTCTAAAGTTCCCAGCCGCTCCATCACTCCACGTCATCATCTCTGCCTCCATCTCAGGCGTCACTGTTTCTCTGGGTAGGATCCCGCTTTCTGCTCTTCTCCCTTGATGGTCCCAGGGACCTCCTCAGTTTTCACTCTAGTACTCACCCACCTGTGAACTAAATTTGGCCATGCCCCTTCTCTGTCCTAAAGGACCCACCTCCACGTGGCTTTAGGTGTACACTGGAGAGAGGTTTTGAACCCACAGTAGTGGGTGCCATGGTAGTGTAGAATACCTGCCTCTGCAGCTTGTGGGGTCCTTTGGCCCCACTTCCATGGTATCTAGAGGCCTCTTGGGTCCGCCTGATCTTATACCTGAATAGGCCGAGCACTTCGGGCCACATGCTCATTTTCTGCCGCAGTAACCAGGCACTCCGGGTCTCCCGAGGCCCTGGAGCAGTGTTATAAAATGTGTAATTCTCTGTTGTGTACGGTATGGCCTTACACCGCTGACCTAGGATTGCTGTTGTGCCTTCCACTGTGACTTGTGATAAACGCCACACAGTGTCTTTTCCCACCACAGGTACTTAAAATAGTATCCACTGCTTAGCCCAAGTGTCAGTGAATAAAACAGATAGAAATCCCTGCTCTCCTGGGGTGGGTATTCATTCCAGCCACACAGCTGTGAAAATTGTTGCATTAGTTCCTTTTTGTTTATACCCATTGATTGCCAAGCTCAACTCTCATAGGTGAATCTCTCCTGCTTTGCTCTGTATAAAATGCAGACAAGAATGCCATTTCCTAGGCCTTTGCCAAAGCCTTTACAGTGAATAGTCTGGCTATTAAAGAATACTCTCTTCTAGTAAATTCTCTCCTCACGCACAGACATTATGGAGTCCTCATTTGGCACTGTAGGATCAGCATTGGACTGCTAACCATAAGGTCAGTGGTTCAAACTCTCCAGCTGCTCCTCAGAAACCCTGTACAGGGTCACTGTGAGTTGAAACCAAGTCGACAATGCCTAACAACAATATACTCTCCGAGCGCTCTGCTGGTTTCTCATGGGGCTCAGCACTCCATCCCGTCACTATTGATTCACTTTCTTATTCCTACCAACAACGTGTCTTGGTGACTTTGTTCTTTGCATCTCTAATAAACTTGTTAATAATCCCTGGCACATAGTAAGGACTCCACAAATATTAGAGGGAATTAATGATTAAGTATGTGTAAAACAAATGTTTAAGGAACTCCTCAGTAGACTGAGGCTAGCTAGAAATACATATGGGAGACATACAGGTGAGTAGTCAGG